GGCTAGAGTGCAGTGGCGTTATCATAGCTCACTGCAACCTCAAACTTTCAGGCTCAAGCGATCCTCCTGCCTCAGTTTCCAAAGTAGCTGGGACTACAGGTACGTGCCAACATGCCCACCTAACATTTTAATTTTCTGTAGAGACTAGGTCTTGCTATGTTGCCCAGGCTGGTCTCAAACTCCTGGCTTCAAGTGACCCTCCTGCCTTGACCTCCCAAAGTGCTAGGATTATAGGCATGAGCCACTGTGCCCAGTCTATAAATTTTTATTACAGAAAATTTCAGACCTATATAAAAGTTGAGAGAACAGATGTTCTCAACACCCAACTTCACTAATTATCAATATATGGCCAATATACTTGTTTCACTATGCCCAGATTCTATCAGGGAAATCCCCAGGCATCGTATCAGTTCATCAGTAAAGATTTCAGTATGTAAGGCCAGGCACAGTGGCTCACGCCTGTAATCCTAGCACTTTGGGAGGCTGAGGCAGGAGGATTGTTTCAGCTCAGGAGTTTTGAGACCAGCCTGAGCAAGAGTGAGACCCTGTCTCTACTAAAAATAGAAAAAAATGGTGGTGCTTGCCTGTAATCCCAGCTACTCAGGAGGCTGAGGCAGGAGGATCACTTGAGTCCAGGAGTTTGAGGTTGCTGTGAGCTAGGCTGATGCCACTGCACTCTAGTCAGGGCAACACGGCAAGACTTTGTCTCAAAATGAAAAAGAGATTTCAGTATGCATTTCTAAAAGATAAGGTCCTGAGAATCTCTTTGATTCCTTTCCTTCTCCCTTACTGCTAACATCAATTGGTGACAATCTCTCTGAAAGGCTCCTGCGGCCTTCAAGATGAAGCCCAAATTCCCTACCATGGTGTACATGGTTCTACCTGGCATGGCCACCTCCAGTTTCAGGTCCTCCTCTTCCCCTGCACCCCATTCTCCAGCCATACCGAATTACTTGCAGCTCCCTGGAGACACCATCAACTTTGTACCTGTTGTTCCTGCTACCTGATGTCCATTTCCTCGCCTTTCCTCCTGGTTAGCTTATATGGTAAAACTCAGGGCAGTCACCAATTTGAGAACCCTTCCCTGTCTTCTCCACTGGTAGAAGACGTCTCTGAGGTGCTCTCAAAGCACCTGTGCTGTCTCTGTTGCAATGTGTACAACATCGTACCAAACCGCAAACTGGGCTGTCTTCCCTACCAGACTGTGAGCTCTTCGAGGGCGGGAATCATGTCTTATCTCTGAACCCCCAGAATTTCATACAGTGCCTGGGATGAAGTAGGTCTCATATATTTGTAGGATGAAGTAGGTCTCATATATTTGTAGAATGAATGAGTGAATCAATCAATCAAGAGATACTTCAGAGAAAAAAATGAAAAGACTAAATTGCAAGGGAAAAGCCCGGGGAAGACCTAGGGAGAAGCAAGGAATACAGAGGGATTGAAATGCCAGAGTTTCAAGTTTGGGGGCCTAGGGAACGGTAATGGCACTGACATAAATGGGAGAAACTTGGAAAGCAGGCTGGCTTTTGAGAAGTGATAATGAGATCTAAAATTTTGTATGTGTTAAATGCAATGTATTGATAGAATATCAACCACACAGAGTGATTTAGGATGAGAAAGATGAAGGAAAATATTTATGGCATAGCTGGAGGAGAGCACTGATGTGGCAGGGAGGTGGCTTACAGGAGAGTAAATGACATGTTATGGAACACTATAGAACAGAATAGAATCCAAAAGGGAACCCAATCCAAAAAGGAGTGCTTGGCACACAAAAAGCACTCAAGTCTTAGCTGATGTCCTCATCTTATTATTTGGCCTTTGGTAAATTGGGGTTTTTTCCAACTCTCACCCTCTGTCCCAGAAGCCAGGGCTCTATCTGCCCACAATCTTGTGGAAGCTATTTTATGAAAATCTCTATCCTTCTCGCCAGTGAGGGATCAGAATAAGAGAGTTCGATCTAGGAATCATTTGTGGAGAGGTGGTAGCTGAGGTCATAAACACAGCTGCACGGTCGCAGAAGAGAACATAGAATGAGGAAAAAAGGGTCATGGAATGAGTCCTAGAAGACACTTGCAGTTCAAGAGGAGCTAAGGAGCAAACAAAGGAAACAGGGACCTCAGGCAGAGAGGCCAGAAGAGGGCTACGGAGCAAAGGCAGTCAGTCGCACAGGTCAGCAGGGGGCAGAGGTTGCAGCAGAGCCTCACTAATGGGGTCGGAGGGGCAAGAAGAAGGAAGCAGCTCCTGGCCCAGATCCGGAAAGGGGCACTGTGAGTCATGAAGGAAGTCCTCGGTGGCAGAGCAGGTGTGTGATGACAGTGAGCAACTGCCCGTTAATTCGTGTGAAAAGGTTGCGGGTTGAAGGGTAGCAGGGGTTTTAATTTGAAGGCAGAAGGAAGATCAGTATAGAGGCAAATGGTGGGTTGCAGAGGGAAGGTGTGGAGAGGGGCAGGAACAGGAGACGCAGCACAGGCGGAGGGTCGGCCAGTAGACCAGACTGCCAATAAGGACGGAAGGACAGCGCAAGGGGGCGTTCAGCAGTCTCCTGATACATGCGCGCTCTGTGTATGAGACACTCCTCCCAAAGCTCCACTCTCCCTCCTCCCCTTGGGTAGAGATTTCAGACCCAGTGTCAGGATCTAAAACACCAAGGGGCCTCAGTCCCCTTTCCCTCACAGCCTCCTGTCAGTGGGAGAAAGAAACACCTGTCTGCTCTTCGGCTGTGCTGCTCAAAGTGGTAGCCATTAGCCACAGGTGGCTATTGAAATTTAAATTAATTATAATTAAATAAAATTAAGTTCCTCAATCACACTAGCCACCAATTTAATTATTATTATTATTTATTATTTATTTTTTTTGACACAGAGTCTCACTCTGTTGCCCAGGCTAGAGTGCCATAGCGTCAGCCTAGCTCACAGCAACCTCAAACTCCTAGGCTCAAGTGATCCTCCTGCCTCAGCCTCCCAAGTAGCTGAGACTACAGGCATGCGCCACCATGCCCGGCTAATTTTTTCTATTTTTAGTAGAGATGCGGTCTCCCTCTTGCTCAGGCTGGTCTTGATCTCCTGAGCTCAAGCGATCCTCTCGCCTTGGCCTCCCAGAGTGCTAGGATTACAGGCATGAGCCACTGCGCCCAGCTGACTAGCCACCATTTAAACGTTCAATAGACTCAGAGGGCTAGTGGTCACTGAGTCGAGCAGCACAGATACAGAACCTTTCCATCACTGCGGGATGTCCTATGAGAAAATGCTGCTTACAAGTTTTAGAGGTATTTCACCTCCTCTTCTTAGGGATGTTTGGCTCTCTCTGCCTTAAAAAAATTTAACTTTCCAGCTCCTAGACACTGAATCAACCAGGTGCTGGCGGAAAAAGACTATCGCTTGGCTGTGGGAGGAGGAGTTTCTTCATGGTCTCGGACTGAGATGCTCAACTCTCTATTAACTGGACTTACTTCCCTCAACTTCCAAGCAGGCCCACAAGCCTATCCCTTCTGCTGTGTCTGCTCGGGAGTAAATGTAGCCATGTCAGAGGAGAAGACACCTTGGCTGGCCTCTGCAATCGACAGCAGTCCTGCCTGCTGCCCTCCAAATAGGCGAAGGGCTCCAGCAGCCAAACACCCCGAATCTTCCCCTCCCTTCTCTTAATCCTGCTCTCTGCACTAGACCACCTCCCACTCTTCCCCATCCAGGGCAAGCTGTCCTTCTTTCTCCTGCTTCCTAGTGACAAGCAAGCAGTTGCCAGATGCCTCAATACCTAGGGAAGTTCTTCAGATATTCTGGTTAGTGGGAAGCAGAGGATGACAAAGCTGGAAAGGATCCTAATCCTCTAAGGTGACTCCCTCGCTTGACAGATGCGACCAGCTGGGAGGCAAGTAAAAGGACACACTATCTCCAAGACACGCGAGCGCAGAGCCAGGGGGTTCCGACCGAACTGCATTCCTGGGAACGTTTTTGAACTTCCCTGCCTTGGCTGATGCTTTATGCCCTTTCCAAGATAACATTCCTTTTACGGACAATGCAATGACTGGGCCCATGGGTTTCACTCCACGTGGAGGGAAACTGGGCGAGTGCTGGATGTGGTTACGGAGAGAGACAACTCGGCTCTTCCCCATGAAACTTTCAGAGGGCAGTGCCCCTGCCCTCCCTTTCTGCGTGGCCTTCTTTGGCCATTCCTTCTCCCGCTGTGGCTCTTGTTTGATCACTTCCTAAGAGGATAGGAAAAGTGAGGACAGAGTTCTGGTTTGGGCACTAAGCATGACATGCTTCAACCTTCACAAAAAGTAGTTCATAACTCTGCATGTCAAACTTACTCAAGGGAAAAAAAAATCCCCCAAGGAGCTTGATGTAGGGAACGCTCTGGGAAACGTGCCGATGGAGGACCCTCTGGCACAAGCGTCCGATTCGGCGTCCCTCTTCTCGGGGAGGGGCTTCCGCCTCTGTGCTCAACGTAAAACCAGATCGCTGACCTTGAAGATACTCCCCCCGCCACCCTTCAGACAATCCCGGTGACCCTGGGCACCAGGGAGCTGGGGACAGAGGACGGTCACTGAAGTCTAGGGAGACCTCTACAGACGCTCTGTCCCACTCCCAACAGACCGCATCTGACTCTCTGCTAGAAAAGCCCGAGAATCAAAGGAAGAAATTCCCAACCCTTTCATTTCATCCAAAGGCCAATGGGCTGAATAGAGTTCTCTGGCAAGATCTTAGCGTGGAAGTCACAGGAACTCCTTTCAACTCTCGCCTGGTCTCCCAAGTCCCAGCCCCACTCTTCCCACCCGCCGTTCTCGTGGTTGCTTAGTGGATCCTTTTCACTGCTAGTAACTCAGGAGAAAGGTCTTGCTTAAGCAGCCAGGGGGCCAGCCAACTCAGAAGCAGCAACATGTCCTAAAATGGTCAAAGAAAACTCCACAGGTTTGGCTGGAGCTCAGCTCCTGAAGGAAGGGGGAAGAGTCCGGCAGGGAGGATGAGTTTGGCATCCCCATCGCCCCGCCCCAAACCTCAGGCCTAAGATTAACCCCCTGGGTGCTGACTACTTACCATTCCACAGGACCTCCAGCGAGCGGGGGGACTGCGGAATAGCCTTGTTCTCTTTTAACACGGGACCGACGTACGATGCTAAGTAAGGGACAGATGTCCAGATCTGTTAAAGGAAAGTGGGGGCATGGGAAATTAACAAACAAGACTGATCAACTCACATTCTCACGAGCACACAACACACACATACACTCCTGTCAATACGATCTCTAAGGTCTAACCCTTGCTTTACTGTTCCTCTCCTCATCACCTTCTTCTACTCCAGAGGCTCCTGCTGACACCCTGGAATACTCCTGTGGCACCAAACCAAGGAACCGGAGGAAATGGCTGTGTCCAGGGTGGAAGATGAGAACCAGAGCACCCTGAGAGTCCCAAGCTATACTCGGGTCCCATTTACTCTCTACTATTAATAATAGCTTGGAAACTTCAATCACAGTATCAAGCCTGCTTTTGCATTGGTAAAATGGATATCAGCTGGGTGAGGGTAAAGGTGGTCAGATAAATGAAATGAACATTCATCAGGCACCTGCAATGTGCCAGGCAATGTTTCAGGCATTCAGCCCCCTCCCTTGGTCACTCCACACAGGGCACCCTGCCAACACCCATTCACCTTGGCTGCATTAACGAGCCTCCAAGCATTGAGCAGGCCGAAACCATGCTGGTGGCTATGGCTGAAGCCTGCCTCGTTGGTGACCCAATCTGCATGGCGATCTTCATACTGAAAGGACAGAGGTCCTCGTTAGTCTCTTGCACTGCCAATGTAATCTCAACAACCTCACTCTGGTTTCCTGCTCACCCTGCTGGCTGATCTCGTCTAGACATTCCCACTGAGCCTACCAGGAATGGATTCCCCAAGGAAAGCTGGGACAAAAGGTCAAAGCCTATGATGTCACCACCCCACCCTAGTGGCTTGCTCCTAGAGAGGGAGCCAGAAGGCACAAGAGACAGCCCTGGCAGAGCTCTCCTTTGCAGGTAAAATGGCATCAGCAGAATAGGTACAAATGAGTTTAGGTCTGTGGTCTTGGTGGGGTCCCCACACCTATTCTTTACACACACAACTCTGAAAGGGACTTGGTGCGTAACATTTGGGACATTTAGAAAGTGAAGCCTCCTGATACCTGAACTCGGGGGCAGGCTAGGCCAGGCCACTTGTCCACCTGTTGGTATCTCACCTGGGTGGCTGTGAAGACAATGATGTGCTGGACGTCGCGCCATGTGAGGCAGGGCCGCACCTGGAGCATTAAGGCTATCATGCCGGCTGCCAGAGGTGCTGCGGCTGAAGTCCCTGTGTGGCCCTCAGTGCAGCCAGTGCCCTTCTGAAGATCCCAGTCAGTGGTCACCTGGGAAGTGGAATGGGTGGGGAGGTGGGTCAGAGACTGAGTTCCAAGGTGCTGTGCAGTGAGGGGTACAGAACGAGTCTCTCAGGTGCACCCTTCCTTTGTTAGAGCTGAATCTTTGACCAGAGGGGGACCTGCTAGCAGGGCAGGACAAAGGAGATCCTTAATCCTTCTGCCCTCCTAAGAGAACATCTGGAGAATGAAGATAATGATGATAAGAATGAAAGTCACTTCTGAGGGTGCGATTGTGGGGAAAGAGAGGGAGACGTGGGTGGGCGCCAGTGCAGACAACAGGTTCCTGAGTCTTGCTCCTCTAATATTCTTGCTCCCATTCCCAGGTTCTCCTTCCCAACCCCCGCAACTAAGCTAGACAGAGGAAGTGACCAAGGGAGCTACTGGGCCCCAGCTGGAGCTGGGACAACAGCGACAGCACCATTCAAGGAAATCCAACTTGGCAGCTAGCGACAGGGGCTAGAGTGACCTCGGTACAACCACAGGGAGTGTGTTCCCAGGGAGAGAACTGTGTCCTTGCCCACCCCAGGCTTGGCAATGGGCTATCTACACGGCCTGCCCACGCTCTCTATGGCCCTAGACAGGACAAGCTGTCTCACTGTACCAGGCGGGTGCCCTGAGTCCCCCTTCTCTACCTGTAGTTCTGAGGTGGGAGGCGCGAGTGGGGGAGAGGGAGATGTCATCTGTCTGGCATCAAGCTCTTTCAGGCTTTCATCAACCCTGGAGACTCAGAAGGTTTAGCTGGGGGTGGGGGCCCTGCCTGAATCTGCTCCACTGCGTGGCACTTGGATCCTTGGCACATGGTGCCGGCGCTAAGTTCAGAGAATTGCTTTCTTCCAAACATGTCTTCTGGGCTGGACACCAGGGTGTCAACTTCTGCCAAGAGCTGCCCTTTCTCCATTGTCCTCACTGCTTCCCTCCAGCTGTTACAGCAGCTGCCAAGAGATGTAATTTTCACCCAGATATCGTACACTCCCAGGAAAAAAGGGAAAAACTCTCTCCAAGTTGTAGTCTCAACGAGAGTGGGAAGCCTGGTCCATGCCAGGCAGCAGATTGATTTTTCTTTCCTGTTACGGAAAACAGCCTCCCAGTGACAGTCTAGTGTGCAGCTGGGAGGCCCATGAATTTGCCTATGGTGGCAGGAGCCCCGAGCAGGCATTGCGAAGTCCAGAGCGGCTCCCCCAGGCAGCCAAATGGTGGGAAGCATATGCCCCTGGCCTCTGCCCTCAGAAAGACAGCTCCACCCGTCTGCCCTGGTCATTGAGTAGAAACTGGCACCAGGTTTCCAATGCAAGGACATTCCAAGGGTGGAAACTTGGCTAAGTAAATGCTCTTTTCATTTCTGGACAAACTACAGTTCAGATGGAAGGTGGGGGTGGGAGAGAGCTGAGTTAGGAGGAGAAAAGCCAGGTACTGCAGAGCAAGAGTGACAATCGTGTTAGAGAGACTTCTTAGGTTCCTGGCTGGGGCAGGGGCAAGCTTGGTTCCCCTGAATTTTACCAGGGGGTGAAGCGTACGGCATGTTCCTGCTTGTCGTCCTAAGCCAGCGGGGCCCGGGGTGGGGTGCCCTCTGTGCAGAGCCCAGCCTGCTGAGCAAAGCCTCTCTGGCCTTTCCACTTTAGTCCACTCCCGTTTCTCTTCTCCCCAGAGCGGGGGAAGAAGGGAGTCGGGGTCAGCTGGCACAGAGCCTTGGAACATTGTGTAGACCAGAAGTCATTTATTGGCATAACAAAATTTCAGTTTTGGAAAATAAATTTGACCCAGCAGGAAGACAAAGCAGCCCAATTCCCAATGGCTCTGGAGAGACCTCCCAACTCAGCCACTGGAGAAATCTGACACCACCTGGCTCTAGCCCAGCTCTTGCCTGGAGCCTCCTAACCCCATATGACACTACTATGGGCAATAGGGACAGGGACAGAGCTCTAAGATGATGGTCCAGACACCTGGCCTAAACCTGCTAGGATAGAGCTAAGTCCAGCTAGGTGAAGGCAACAGCCCCTGAATTCTTTAACTGGTTCCACGGGGGGGGAGGCGCTCCACTGCTGTGCGCTGATCTCGTTTGCTATGACTCCAAGTATAGCTCTAGAGAAAGAGCTCTCTCTCGTGTTGACATGAGACATTCCCCTGACTCCTTTTCCTGCCCATCCCATAAAAACAACCACTAGCTTTACTCCTGAAGATAAACATGACCAGAACTCACAGTTTTTATCTAAGGGCTGAAGAGCAATGGAATGATGATTTCTTTTTTTTAAGTCCACAGAAATTAGCAAAAGCCCAAATTCTACCAAAGGAAGACATTTCGAAAAAGTTGTTTAACGAACGTGACACTTAGTTTCTGTAAGTATATTTGTCCTAATTCAAAAATTTTAAGACAAAAACCACATCCACAGATTTATCCAGAGTCCTCAGGTCGGTTCTCCCAACAGTGGCATGCCTTCAGAGACACACATCTGCTGGGGAGGTGGCACCTGCCCACTAGGACAGGGAAGCAGGGGACACAGACATGCCGCGAAGCCTGCCATGTGATGTCTTGGGACAGGGGCAGGGTGTGCAGGGCCAGGGAGACACTTACGATGCTCCGGAGCATCTTGTCCCCACCACTGAAGGTGACCGCCAGCATAGAGGCACACTCCTCTGCATAGAACGGCATGCGACCCTCCTCATCCACAGCACCTAGAGACACAGGAGGGAAATGGTAGCTGAATGAGGATGGGGTCCTGCGGCAGGGGCCTGATAATACCAGAGTCATCTTTGAGCTACCACCTGGGGGACTGTCCTGAGTTGAAACGTGATCTGAGTGCCCCAAGTCCCTCAATGTGTCCCAAATCTTCATCTGAACAGGCAGCTTCAAGCAGCAGAGAATATACTGTGCTCCGGTATCATTCTTTCAATAGGTTCTAGGGTAAAACCAGGGGCCTTCTACTTTTGTACCTACTTATTCATTCACGTGTTAATTTTTTTCAAAACTGATTAAGCATTTACTGTGAGTCACACACTGTGCTAGGCATCAAGGCCATATGGAAAAGGCCACAGCCCTGGTCTCAAGGAGCCTCTGGGCCAGGCGCAGTGGCTCACACCTATAATCCTAGCACTTTGGGAGGCAGAGGCGGAAGGATCACTTGAGGCCAGGAGTTTGAGACCAGCCTGAGCAATGTACCAATACCCTGTCTCTACAAAAAAATCAGAAAAATTAGCCAGGTGTGGTGGCACATGACTGTAGTCCTAGCTATTAGGGAGGCTGAGGCAGGAGGATCACTTGAGCCCAAGAGGTTGAGGCTATAGTGAGCTACGATCGTGCTATTACACTTTAGCCTGGGTGACAGAGCAAGACCCTGTCTCCTAAAAAAAAAAGAGAGAGCCTACAGTCCAGGTGGAAGTCAAGTAAGTAAATCAATACAGCTGGGTGGCAAAGACTCTGACTGGGAGCACAGGTGAGGGGCACTTAATTTAGGCTAGTGGGGACTTGGGGGAGGCTTTAAGCAGAAGGCAAGTGGCCCACAGAATGACAGGCCAGAGCAGAGGCTTAACCAGTTGTGGTGGGGTGGAGGTGGTGGTGATCTCCAGATGATGGGTTGAAGGTGTTCCCAGTGTATGGTGACATCTAAGGTAGTCCCAAGGTCCTTTGAGAGTAGGGCTAGTCCTATCTGAGCCCAAAGAGATGACTGTGCTCACATATTTAGACAGACACACTGAAGCTGGGGCGCACCAAGACATGCAATGTTCTCACTGAGTGACATGCATATACGCGCGCGCGCGCGCGCACACACACACACACACACACACACACACACACACAGCACTGTCAGATCACTACCTATGGTGACTGTGTAGATGGAGTTGGCGTAGCCATCGTAGTTGCAGTTGTCATTGTGCTGGCCCCCATTACCACTGGCTACCACAAAGATGCTCCCAAAGCCCTGGCGACCAGCAATCACCCCATGTTGCAAGGCAGCCTGAGGAGCAAAAATGTCAGGTATCAGTTGAGGAACTCATGGAAAGACCTCTACCTACCACACCCATCTCCCTCTCCATCCCTTCTAAAAAAAAGTTCAAAGGGCACTGGGCAGGGGGAAAGATTTAAAGATAGATAGGAGACAGGGTGGGAGGTTTTAGGTGAACAACATCTGATGGATGTACTCTGCTTATCAGGTGATAGGGTGGAGCCAGGACAAGACCAAAGGAAAACACTCTCAAAGCATTGCTCCATTTCCCTAAGAACTAGTGTCCCCCATGCTTCCTGCCCCCAAATTAGGCACACTCTTCCTAAAAGGAGGCAGCAGGGCTAGATGGCACATGTCTGGCACTGCAAACAGGGTGGGTGGGAAGAGGGACTGCCTTGTAGCAGTTCTCCTAGGACTGAATGAGGAGGGTGTCCCAGCTCTCTTAGAACTCCCTTTTCATGGAGTTCAGTTACCTTGCCAAGCTGATGTGGGCCATCCACTGTCTTTCCATCATCATCTGGTCCCCAGCTGTTAAGAAATACCCAGAGGGAAGGGGCAGAGCCAGGCTGTGGCTACCCACCCAGGGCCTCCCAGTCTCAGCCGGCCACCCTTCTGTCTGCAGCTCTTTCCCTCCTCCCAAGGGTTCCAGTTTAGGACTCCCATGATTAAAGACATGGGGTTCAAAGGTCCATCCCTTCTCCAAAGTAGAAAACAGAAGTCTGTGCTAAGGTTTTTCTTTTCCTTGGACGTATCCCTAGTTTAGGACCATGTTTTCCTGCCCCTAAAAGTCCCTTTTCGGGTAGCAGGGAACAATACATAGTAGCAGAGAGGGACAGAGGCCACTCCTCTCCTGATCTAGGGATCTAGTGCTAGGCTTGATGGCAGAACACCTATGAAGGAATATCTATCTGTTTAAGTTCTTGGTTCTTAGGCTCAGGAGTTCTCTATCCTTTCTCTAAGAGGAAATGTACCCTGTGGAGAATGTCATGCATTTAAGGGAGATATTACTGCGGGAAAGAACAGGTGCCATCAATGCCACAGGGCTGCCCAACCCCAGTTCCTCTTTATCCTTCCCACCACAGCCATGACCTGAAGCTGCAGGTGCATACACGTAGGGTGGCAGGGATTGGTGCTGGGTATTCAGCTTCCTTGTGGTTGGAGAGGAAAGCCTACTTTCTCCCAGAGGCCTTATGAGTTTAGAAAACAAATACATGTGGCACGGGCTGGGGCTTCTCACGTGACAACCTGATTTCTGGGGTCACAGAAGCTTAGGATTGAGAACCTAGTGGCTAGAGATCTGGAGAAATGAGGGCAATGAGCTTACTAGCTGAACCCAGTGAGGGGATCACTGCTCAGGCCTGCCTGGGTCAGCCCATTTTGCAGGTCTTTTGGTGGCAGATTCATCCCAGGCGCTCTAGCCTCTTGCCCTCTCACCTGTTCTCCCTCACCCGCAGCTCCGCCTCACCTGCAGCTGTAGATGTCATTGATCTGGTAGTGCTTGTTGAACGCCACAGCCTCCATGCTGTCTGTGAGAGGTCCATCCAGCACCCGGATACCTAGGCAGCGAAGGCCACAGCAGCTCCTCACTAATGCTGGTCCCCTAGACCGGGAACTGCATGGTGGGGAGCCACATGTGGGAGACTTACTTTTCCCTGTATGCTTTTTTGCACCGTTTGACTTTTTATACCACGTATATGTATTACCTGTCCAAAAATACTTTTTAACATAATGCTGGAACTTAGACTTTAACAATCATGGGGTCTGGTGGGAGAGGCATAGAATGTAGGTACCAAGGTTCCCTTCTTACCTTCACTCTGAATCATATAAAACGCCTAGCATGGTGCTTGACACGGAAGATGTTCAATAACTGGTACTCATCACCATTGCTATTCTCATGGATGTCTAATTTTACCCTTTAAAATGGGTGGGTCACATCCTGGTGACCATGTAGGGACAAACGGGCTTTCAGAAGGGACTTGACCCTGAAGGTTCCTGGCGCCTTCTGTAGTTTCATTTACAGAGGGCTGCTGCCCTCTGCAGGAGTGTAAGAGGAACACAGTCAGCCCATTCATTCTGTAGGTTCCCGGGAATTAACCAGGAATCGCGAGGAGAGCTTCCCCACTCATTCCCTTCACCTTCTGCTTTGACGACAGAGACTGAGAGGCAAAGGAACCACAGAACCACCTCCAGTGGAGAACAGGGCTGCTCAGCTCTCCCGAAAGGATGAGAGCAGCCCATGACTGTCAGTAGGTCTGGGCACTGGAGAGTTAGGACATGCAAGAGCACAGCCACATACAGGGGATTATGGAGGAAGAACCAATGAGAAGGTACTTTATAGATTACTAAAATGCAAATATAATGGAGTCAAGTAAAAGGTCATTAATGGTCCACTCTTCTGTGTTTTATATAGGGGTCTGCAGCTAAAAAACATGTTCGAAACCTCACCGCACTGAAAAAATCATTGAACTGATTTGTCCTAAAGACACCTATTATAAACCTACCCTTGCTCTAGGCTATGTGTTGAGAGTGGGGTAAAGACATTTCAGTGTGGAAAGGGGGACAGGGAATGAAGACTGTGGTCACAGGAGCAGACTGCCAAGGCTGGACTCAAGCATGAGTTACCTGCTATGCGGCTCCCATAGGCCACGCCCACGGCACAGAAGCTGTTGTTGGGCACAGCAGCAATCTCTCCCGCACATCGGGTGCCATGGTGGTTGCCATTCTCAACGTCCGGGTGGGGCATGGGGTCAGGGTCATTAGAGTTGAGGTCATAGCTACCCTCAGGGCTCTGAAATATCGGGGGAGGGGGCAACATGTGGTCACTCACTGGTTAGAAGGGGTCAAATCCTAGTGCTCAGGGAGAGAAGGAACAGGGAGTTTGGGACTCCAAGACAGGGCAGCAAGCCCATCTTTCTCTGCAAACCACACGGGGTTCAAGATGTGGGCACAGAACTGGAGCAAAACTGAGAAGTACCACAGCTCCCAGCAAATCTCTCTCTTGCCTACTATAGGAATGTGCCCGCTGCTCCGTGGCTTGGGAAACCTGGATAAAAGAGGTTTATGGCTACCTAAAGGCCACACTTTAGAGAGGGGAAGGTACTCAGAACTTCAGTGGAGAGGAAAGTTGCCTACCGGGGCCACTCCCTACTCGCCAGAGAGGGAGCGGCAACAGGAAGCAGGAAGCACTGCCTGGGATTGCTCTCCCATGGGGTAGAGCCACCTGCGGTGCCTGCACTGCCTGTCTGGAATGCTGGCTGGGGCCACCGAGAGAAGACAGACATCATCCCACCTCCCAGGCCCTTTTCTTTGGCCCAAAGACCTCTAGGAAAGAGGACAAGACTGAGGCAACACCAAGAAGGAGGTAAGATGTGCAGGTGGGAGGGGTTGTTCCAGGGCCACTCACATAGTTGGGGGCGATATCCTGGATGGTGTGTTCCACTCCGTCATCCACCACCACCACCGTCACCCCTCGCCCAGTCACATTGCGCTCCCACACACCCGTCACGTTGATGTCCCTGCCAGGGCTCCGCCGGTTATACTGTAGCAAAGGGGGTGGGAATCCAGTGACACACAGCATGCCCCAGAGAGAGACGGAGTTAGAGCTGGCAGCCCCCTTTCACCCTTGGCCTCCACCAGAGAGCCAGACAGAGGCTGTAGATCAACCGAGCCAAGGAGGGGCACATGAGGGCTGTGTCACAGCCTTGGTCTCCAAGTCAGCATCAGTCACAGCTGACTTAGCATGAAATGGTGGCTAGGCTTAAGTGTTGGATGATGTAATTATTATGCCAGTGTTAGTTATCGCTTATGTAATAGTGTTTACCATGAGTCTTGCACTATTCTAAGTGCTTCTCATATATTAATCCACTTATCCTAATCGCAATTCTATGAGGTAGGTACTGTTACAATCTCCATTTTATAGATGGAGAAACTGAGGCACAGAGAGGTTAAGTAGCTTGCCCAAAGGCACACGCTAGTAGGTGGCAGAGCTGGAACCTGCGCCCAGGCACCCTGGCTGCAGTGCCCGTGCCTCAGGCACCGCAGAACACTGGCTCTCTAGCAGAGGGTAGAGGGGAGGCAGAGCGCAGGGGCAAAACATACCACAGAAATGTGCCCTCAGGCAAAGGATGGAGGCAACTGAGGAGTGATGCAGTCAGAAGCCCACTGAAGCACTAGACAGAACTACCCATCTGAAACTGAAAACTGCAGGGCTGGACTCACCAGGTGCCACTGCTGCGGGTACTTGGGGTCATTGAAGTGGACGCTGCGCTTGGCCCGCTTTAGCAGCCTCTGCTCTGAGTGCCAGCGCACAGTTTCATGCCGGGCCAGCACAGCTTCCGCCTGCTGCCGGATGGCCTCCACCTCCAGGGCCTGCCCACGCCCAGCTGGCTGGACCAAGAGGTAGTGCCCCCGGAGCTCTCCGATGCGTCCAGCATTCACCAGCCCTGCTGCGTGGGCCAAGGCATCTGCCTGCTGCTCCAGAGTCTCTTCTGCCCCCTCACCTTCCAGGCTGTCCAGATGCACAGCCCAGCTTAGCCCCCCTGGACCCTGGGCCTCAGGCCCACCTGTCCCTGCCAGGCACATGACCCAGGGAACCAGTAAGAAGAGCCCGGCTAATTCCAGCCAGAAGCAGGTGGGCAGGCCCAGGGGGGCATCCAAGTGTGGCACTCTCTGCCTCCCCTTCGGCATCAGAGCAGTAGGCTGCAGACAAAGAGGAAGGACATAAAAGACATAAAAGAGCTGGTAACTGTAGGAATCTGAGAGGGAGACTTTGAACCATCAGTGTGTTCCCCCTGGAAGTCCTCAATCCACTCCTTTTAAATTATTGAGTGTTCAATCCTCTCTTTTTGTTCACATTTATCCCTGACCAACAGGGACAAGACCCCAGATGGAGTGTGGGCCAGTACTGATCCCAGTGGGTGACCTCCCATAGCAATCCCCATCATACCAGATAATCCAGCAGAGAGGGTCCAGTTGCTCACAAGACACCACGCCCTTCCCCCTGCTGCCATGCACAGGGCTCAAAGTCATGCCACTCCCACAAATTACTGGCAGCATAAGACTGTTCTTTAGAAGAAGACCCTTCGCTCCTTTAAAGGGCACATAAATCTTTCCCCAGCAGATTCCTCAGTGCAGTTGTCCTCAGGGCTAACTCCCCACAAGGGGGCCCCATTCCCACCTGGACTCTACGTTAGGTTGAGCTCCTGGTCTGGCTAACCACGTCACACTCATCTTGTGCAAAGGGAGAAAAGGCATCACTTTCACTGTGAGTAGTGTTGACTCAGCGCAGGCTACAGACCTGGGGGACCCAAGAACAGGAGAAATAATGTCCCACCAAACCCGATGGAACAAGCAGAGGCTAGATGAACTTTAATACCAGTAACCAAAGAAACGTGATCAAGTGTCATTTCTAGGGATCTAAAACAGATCATAGACCAGAACAGAACTGGTATGGTAAGGCTAAATCAGTATAAAATCCAGAAACCCTACTTCTTGTGCTATCATGCCACCCTTTTTTCATTTTTCCCCCTGGAGGTCTAGTAGAGGACTTAACTGCTACCAAAATGTCTCCTGAGAAAATAAGTAACACACTTCCTGGAAGTCTAAGAGGTAGCTAACTTCCTGGTTCGTGTGTCTCCCAAGGATGCCAGGGGAAGTGAGAAGAGGCAGGAGGCAGGGGGAAAGCCAGAAAATGCCAATGAAACCGAACAGGCATCAAGGGCAAGCAGGAGAGAAGAAACGACTGGAAAACAGCACTAAAGAGCTACCCTGTAACCAGCTCAGCAGGTTGACTTCAAAGTGACGGCTCAGGCTCCAATCACCTAGGTTTGATAGAACCAGGTACTTGGTCTTAGGAATCCTCAAAGAAAAAAAGGGCCAAGTTGGAGCTGGTTGGCAACTGTGACAGGTGAATGGGGTGGCAGAACATGTGGTACCTATGTGTGGCTGGGCTCCTTTAAAAGCCTCTTCTCTCTACTAAGTCCACATGGGGGCAGGGCTTAGTACTGAGACACACACCCAGACAGATCCAACTCAAAGCATTCCAGAAAAATGGATATTTTACTGAAGACTCCATGTAGAGGGAGAGAACTTATGCCACCTAACATTTCCCTCTAAAAATCTCCATTCCATATCTCTTCTTCTCTTTTCTTCTTAAATTCCCAAACATATTCCCTCTCAAATCCCTCCCTGACCCCCAGCAGCCTCGACTGTCCCAAGATATTACTCTACTAAGTAAAAAAAAAAAAAAATCCTGTGACATAGCCAGATAATGACCCATCCAGACAGGCTCCTCCAGTCTCAAAAAATCCCACATTTCCGGAAGAAAGAGAAACCTGAGCTCTTTCTGTCTCCCAGCGGCAGAGCAGCACTTTTATTCCCAGGCTTCTGGGAAAGGAACCTTAAACACGTTCTGAAAGCAGATCTTAACCTCTCCTAACTGCTACGCCTCTCTTTACAGCTCTTAGTGGTCAAGGAAGAAAAAGAGTACGGGCAGCCCGGAGTCCAAGATTCTGCTCCCAAGCGACTGTCGTCCTCGCTGCCTTTACACCCAGCTCCTAGAAACCATGTTAGGTACAGGGGTCAGTCTCACCGATCCCCACCCCCTCCCCACGACCTCTACTGCTCCGTGCAATGTGCCCCTCTCCTCATTAGCACCGTATTATCCTGGAATCCAAGACCTTGAGGCCCCGTCCCCCTGGGTTCCCCCACTCCAGGACCGAAGGCTCCCTCTACGCAGCTCCCTCATCTTCAGACGCCGGCTCGCCCCGCTTCTGGGCTACCTGGACTTCCAGTGTCCAGCCCCTACCTAGTTCCCAACTCACCCGCCCGGCCGCAGCTGCCGCCGCCTCCCTGCGGAAACTCGCGGCTTCCCGGGAGCAGAGCAGCCAGTGACAGCAGCATCACTTCCGCCCCGGCGGCGCAGCCAATCAGCGGCGGGCCCCACGGGCCCGGGCCAACCCCGCGGGCCCCAGCAACGGGCGCCGGGGACCGGCTCCCGCGGGCGGCCTCAGTGGACAGAGGGCGTGCGGATTTGGCGGGCTTAAGTCGCGGAGCTCCACCGTCCCGAGGCCTCGGGGCATCTTCAACAGGGTCCCTCCCCGCAGGGTTCTTCTTCATGGCGTCCTCTGAAAAGGGCATCTCGGTGCCGACCTTTAAAAACATCTCGTTGCTCTTCTCTCTCTGACCGCCATGGCCTCGGCTCTCCCTGTAACCTCCCCAGAGGGTCTCCTGCCCCCACCAGGCCGCCTTCCTTCTCACGGTCGCATCTCTCTTCTTCCCTGCGCCCCTGGAGAGTCCTCTTGTGTCTCAGGGGTCTTCCGCCGCATCCCCGTGTCCCGGGCGGCGCCAGCTCTTGCCGCCAGAGGGCGCCGTCGGGGGCGGCGCGGCGCCACGGCGGCCTCTCCTCTCGCGGCCCGAACCTCTCCCCCTCCGCTCGTGTCGCCGGAAGTGGGAGGTGTCGCGCGCGGGCCGGCGCTCGACCCCTCCCCCCGTAGCTCGGCCGCCCCCTCCCCCCGCTCCGCCCGCTCAGGTGCGTCCCGTCCCTCCCCCCCATCCTCCCGGGGGCGCGGCGCGGGAGGTGTGTGCGGGGCGGGCGCGCGGGGAGGGGGCTGCGAGGCGAGGGGCAGGGGCGCGGGCGGGGGTCCGAGCGGGGAGCGTGGGGGGAGCTGTGAGGACGGGGGCGGGGGTCCTGGCCTAGAAGTGGGACGGGGGCTGGCAGTGAGGTGGGGGACCGAGGGAAAGATGTGGAGAGGGCTCCGGCCCGAGCAAGCGGCCTGCTTAGCAGTCCCCTGTTGAGGGTGGCGGTGGCCACCCGGCGCTGCTTCCCCCCATTGTCCCCTTGCCGTCTGTCCGCTGTTCTCTCCCAAGGGCCCCTCGCTCCCAGCGTCGCCGCCTCACTAGTGCTGGCTGTTGGGGTGCACGGTTCCCTTTGGCAATCTCCACTCTCCAGCCAGATGTACCTGCCCTCCCTGCTTGGGCTCTGCGGAGTTGCATGTATGACCCTTGCCCTGTGGTTCCGTGTGCGGGGCACCGAGAACTCCAGGCCCTGGGCTCTGTTAGAGGCAGGATGTTTGCACCTGAGGGAGCAATAATGGCGATTCGGGGCCGTTTTCTCCCCGTAGCTTTGTATAATGAGGCAAACTGAGGCACAGAGGGTCTTTGTGCTGTGACCAAAGCGTTGACACAGCCCCGTCTCCGTATTTGCCCTATGCAGGGTTCACGGGTATACCTGTGATGCGGTTAAAATAAAAACAAGAATGTAAACTAACCTTATGTTCACTGCCCCCCACCTCCCAAGTTGTTTTTTTTCTTCTTTTCTCCTCACAGTAGAAGGTCATGGGTTAGTTGTGCGGCATAAAGCATGACCTTTTGATCTTAAAAAAAAAAAAAGCATCTGTCCGGGTTCCCTTTCTTGTGTTCCCATGTTTTCTCATTTCCATGCTAGAGTAACTAAGATTCTCATCCTTTTTTGCACCTTTTATGGTGACTCTGAAGAGTGTGCACTTTCCTCAATCAGTGGGTTATCAGACTTTTCCCATCTGGGGCGAACACGCCGACAGAGCAAAAGATACATGCTGGCATTGCCCTGTACTTGTTCTCTTACGTGCAAACACCTCCAGAAAATCTCACTTTAATGAAGAATGCTTTAACAGCCATAAAATGATTTTAAAACATACTACTACTAGGCCAAAAGATACATCTTTTATAAAGGATAGTAGACAACGTAGACATGGTGGGCCATTTACGGAAGATTCTCACAGACTGTAATCTACTATTTTAAATGACTGCATTTCTGCCAAAAGTGAAAATAAAATCTTTGCACAGACTCCTTATATAAATATGGTGACTCCTGAGGATTGATGCCCACTGGGATCTATTACATGCAATGGCTTTTTAAATACCCTACTACAGAATACTCTTAAGTATCTTCTCAAAGTTTTTCTTTGTATTTCTTTCCTGGAACAACTCTATTGTGTGGACATTTTGAGGGGGAAAGATACATGTATGTTAAACTTTTGAAACTTGTAGCCTATAATTTGTTTCTAAATGTACAGAGCATGATGGCAGCATCTGAGGTAGCTGGTGTTGTGGCCAATGCTTCCAATCCTTCGGAATCTTCTTCTAGTTTGTGTGCTTCCAAATCAGATGAAGGTCTCCCAGATGGTCTAAGGTAATGTGTGGATTCTTCACTGGGAAGATTCATTTGGGTAAAGGGCTTTTGAGATGGGCTTCTGTAGCTGGTCTTTTCTTTTTTGGCTCTAATGGTTCTGCACTAAATGAACTTTTTAAAGGTAGGGGACTGCCTGATCTATCTTTGTGTTTCTGGTATCCAGCACAGCGTCTGATACTCAGCAAGCACGCTAAATGTTTGTCAAATAAATAGAATCAGAGTATAGGGGTCAAACTCATCAAAAATGCAAATATTACTGTTTCCTTCATGGACTATATGTTCATTTAACCATATGTTTATATATCATATTTGTATAAATGAGACTTTTATGTTACAATATATAGAGGTATATGCATATATACTTACACATATAAACATAGAGAGATATATATGTATGTATCCATCTATTTAGATATCTTTGTTCATATGGCTTACTGCTTCATGTATACATCTTTGTCTCCCGTCTAAACTTTTGAGAGTAGGAATTATAGTTACCCAAACTTGCATCTTATGGTGGCTAATATGTTGTTATATACAATGTTGAACTAAATTAACTATATGGTCATCTCTCAGTATTTGTTGGGGATTAGTTCCAGGACTCCCTGTGGAAACTAAAATCCTCAAATGGTCAAGTCCTTGATATAAAGTGGCATAGTATTTGCGTATAACCCTGTGCACATCCTCCCATATACTTTAAATCATCCCTAGATTACTTATAATACCTAATACAATGTAAATGCTATGTAAATAGTTGTTATACCATGTTGTTTAGGGAATAATGACAAGGGAAAAAAGTCTGTTTTAGTTTAGTACAGAGGCACCCATCCATTTTTTTCTTGAATATTTTCAGTCCGTGGTTGGTTGAATCCACGGATGCGGAACCCATGGATATGGGGGGCCAAGTGTATGTTGTTCTACTTCAACTTTTTTCTAGAGTACCTGGGACCGAACATAATAAATAATACTGTGCTAACAGCTTTATATGTATTAAACACATTTAATCCTCACAACAATCCCAGGAGGTGGGTGCTAATATTATTATTCCCATTTACAGGTGATGAAAATGAGACACAGAGAGGTTGGTAACTTGCCCAAGATTACCAAGCTGTGTTGGAGTCAGGGTTTTAATAACATCACATAATTCTAGTAACAATAATAGCTGCTAAGATTTATTGAATGTTTACTACGTGCTAAGCACTGTACTAAATACTTTATACATTATGTAATCCTCACAATCTTACCAGGTAGATAATATTATTTCTGTTTTACCAGTGATGTAATTTGCCCAGAGTCCAACAGCTAGTAAATGGTAGAATCTAGATTCAAATCCAGGTACTATATATACCCAAATTTATAATTGAGGCTCCCCTCACCCCACTCCACAGTTATTTCCCTGCAAGAAAGAATTAGCTAAGAGTGTTAAAGATTTTTAGATAATGAGATGTTCTCACAATTGCTATATTTTGAACAAGTACTATTGAGGAAAGGAGGACTCATTGACTTGATGCTTAAGGGGGTCAATAGACAGAATCTGTATTAAAAAGGGGGGGAGGACAAAGAAATTTAACATATATTTAATTACTGGGTGAAAGACTTACAATTGTGAATATTGGATGTCATTGTAAATATGTTTTAAAGAGCTTTTTAAAAAGCAGTACATTAAATGGCTGTGACAAATGACAGAATAACCCAATGTTATGCTTACGTATACTAGCAAGTCTGGTATGAAATCTCTATTGACAGCTTAATTTTGGAGTCAGAATTATCTGTGCTTTAGGCAGCTTTGAAGTGAAGATGCTACGCTCTGCAAAACTTCAAGAACCTAAAAAGTGGTTCTTGTCAAAGATCTTTATGATGAGGTTGAGTGACAGTTATTTTTGTGAAACGTGAGAGTGGAGTAAAGACAATATTTCTAAGTCAATATTTTATTTATTTAAATATTGTATATAACTAAACTGAATGTTCTGACAAACATTAGGTTATTTCATCTACATCCCTAAAAGTTATTCAGAATGGCCCTCAAAATTTTTTTGGCTCTTCAGAGTCATTTATGTTTTGGCATTTACTGTAGACTGTCTTCAGAACCCAGGTTCTTAATTACCAAGCTATACTATCTGCATGTGGAATAGAAGTCATTGGACTGAAACTAAGTTCTCTTTATTCTGGTAATTGGGAGGGCTAATTTTGTTCTTCTGGTCGTTACATGGAAAGTATTATGTACTTAATCCTCTTTGAGAATGGGTGAAGAGAGAAACTCTTTATGTTTTTAATAGCCCTAAAGACCCTGCGCAGAAGCAGAAGAACTCGCCTCTGTCGAGTGTAAGTAGCCAAACGATAACCAAGGAGAATAACAGAAATGTCCATTTGGAACACCCAGAGCAGAATCCTGGTTCATCAGCAGGTGACACTCCAGCAGCGCACCAGGCTGTTTTAGGAGAAAACTTGATAGCCACAGCCCTTTGTCTTTCTGGCAGTGGGTCTCAGTCTGATTTGAAGGACTTGGCCAGCACAGCAGGAGAGGAGGGGGACACAAGCCTCCGGGAGAGCCTCCATCCAGTCACTCGGTCTCTTAAGGCAGGGTGCCATACAAAGCAGCTTGCCTCCGGGAATTGCTCTGAAGAGAAATCCCCACAAGCCTCCATCCTAAAGGAAGGTTGCAGGGACACAGGCTTGGATTTCCGACCTGTAGTACCTCCAGCAAATGGGGTTGAAGGAGTCAGAGTGGATCAGGATGATGATCAGGATAGCTCTTCCCTGAAGCTTTCTCAGAACATTGCTGTACAGGTCAAGTATCAAGTTTCTACTACTAAAATGGAATTTGGGGGGGTTTTTTGAGGGTAGGAGATATTTCTTCATATTTGGTGGAGAACTACACTGTCTCATTTTTTGCTGGCAATCATCATGCTGTTTTCATACAGTGCCATGCCATGACTTCATTCTGGTGTTCAATAAATAAGAAAGCCAGTAGCCCAGTTTCTAATCTGATGGCAAGCAGGAACTTTATGACCTACATGAAATCTCTTTCACTGAGTAATTGATGCGTGTAGGTCATTAGCATTGATATTTCCCATCTTTGTCCTTGCAAGAGGAATCCTTGTTAACTCTCTGACCTATCCTGCCTTCTAGTGACTGGTGTGCTTTGTCATAGGGAAAGCAT